ATGGCGGTGAGCTTTGCGGCGGCGGCGGCCGTGGCGTGGAGGTGTACGATTTACCAGCAGTCGTGAGGTGAAGTGGAAGTTGTAGATGATGATGTTCGGTTGATCTTGGTGTTGAGCATTTGGCATAAGCATATTAGATGGGCGCACGTGATACGATTCACCGAGTTGGATGTTTGGTATACACATGATTTACAGGTAATGATTGCTTTCACGAGCGGCAACGACTTGATAGAATATAATAAATAAAATAGAGTAATATCAGGGACATGCACTTGACACCGTCCTCACATGCGAGTTGCAGATGCAGTGACGCGCGTGAGGGAGAAGAGACGCGTTAAGTGGTTAATCAAGACGCGTTCTTTTACGCGCTTGTGCATGGACTAAGCCCACTTATGACATAGGTATGCAGAGCTTTTGCTGCCGCAGCCAGGGAAAAAGATATCCGTCTACCTACCTTACTGTCTTGTTTTCCCGTTTCCCATCCCTCTCTTATTCCTACCTAGGTACTTTTTAATATACTACACCTCAATTCCACATCTCTCACTCCCCTCTTCCAAGTTCAATCACTCATCCAACTTTACGCAAAAACCCCAATAATCCCACCAACAAAACCGCCCACCTCACACCACCACTCAACCCCTCCCCAAATCGCATCAAAATCAGATCCATCCAAAAATGTCCAACGTCCCCCCCGCCGAAACCCGCGAGGCCATCGCCGCAAAGCTCACCTCCCTCATCGCCACCATCGAGTCCGACCCGGCATTCGACCGCTCCTCGCCCGCCGCCAGCGCTCTTCCACATGTGGGATTTCGCCAAGAGGACCGAGTACATGCTCTCCGAGGTGGACAACATCAGGCAGTCTGGTTATGAGTTTCGGCTGCCCGGGCAGATTAAGATCTGTACGTCCCTTTTTCCTTTCCCTTCCCTTTACCCCCCCTTCTCTTTACTCTCTCTTCTATCCTTACCTTCTATATATATATATATATATACATACACACATATATTCATATAGGCTGTATGTTGTGTTGTGTGTTATGTGGTATATGGGGATGTGCGGACTTGATGAAAGTTGGCAATGATGCTGATGTGTGTGTTTTGACAAGCCGCCCGAGGAGATGCCGCTGCAAAGCAACTCTACAACGACACCCTCACTCGCTCGCTTACCCTCGACCAGCTCATTTCGGGACCTCCCATGATGCGCGCGATGATGGGCATGGCGGGCCCCGTTTCGCCCGAGATCCAGGCCGCGTCAAAGGCCGTCGTCGACGCCTTCAAGGCATGAAACACCCAACGCTTGAAAAGAAAAAAGTCACAAAAGTCCTTTGACATCTCGGTCAAAAAGACGCCATCTGGGAAACCGGACAAACACCAGTTACGAAGGATAAGAAACTGCAGATAGATACCATATACGAACAAACAAACTCAGAGGAGGAGAAAAAACAAAATCGATTCCGATTTCATTGGTCGCTCTGTGGCGAGTTGAGCGCCTCTCTCTATAAAAGACCGAGCCATGAGCCGTGATAAAAAAGTGATGAAATACAATCCAATGCCCCAGATGAAGCAAATTCCCATGCAACAGCGCCGTCATAACCAAGATTTCTCCCAAATAAATCGCAAAGCTATCCGTAGAGTCGCTATCATGCATGTATGCAATGGCTGTTCCCAAAGACCGAAGATGACAGAAAGAAAACTGCCTTGAGCCCGTTACCAATTCCTGATCCATAACCTTTCAGAGGACAGAACCAGCGTCAATCAAGTTCTAACAAGTGTCTGGAATGGGGGTGACACGTCAATCAATCACTATCGGCTGATCGCATCTTGCCTGTCCCAGCGACCCCTTGGTTTGCCCCTCGCCAACCTTCGGCCAATGTTGCCAAAACAGAGGCAGGTGCAGAACAGCACGCTGAGGATCCAGATGCCCGCCTCAACAGTCTCCGGGTTGGCGATTCCGCCCAGAAGTGGCGCCGGCTCGGCGGGCGGCTCGACGGAAGAGACGTTGTGAGTCTGCGCGATAAACGTTGTTGACGGAGCCCGGATCACGTCTGGACTGACACTCAGCAGAAACAGGGTCCCCACGGCGCCGACGACGGTGGACACGACCAGCGCGGCCATGGTTCGGTCAATGAGCCACCAGAGAAAGACATTGACCAGCGCCATGGCGATCAAAACCTGGGTGCTCGATGTCCACGCCAGGCGACGCTGCGTTGGCATCACATGTCAGCAAAATGGGTCGCACAAACTCCTCGAAAGGGTGACACGGGGGACTTTCGACTCACCACTGCAAAGGCGACGCCGGCAAACACGCCGACTGCCCTCATCACAAGCGTCCAGTCCGTCTCCAGCTTCTCGGTATCATCTGACAGGGACTCGGCAGAGTCTATCTCCGGCTCTTGGTCTTGACTGCTGCCAAACAGTCTGTCCCACTCGTCATCCACCCACGGCTGCAGCGCGCCCATGGCAACGCCGGCCAATGCAAACCCCCACATGGCAGTATATGAGCCGTTGTATTGTGGCATGCTGGTGCCGGCATCGGGCAGCTGAAGAAGGCCTTGCTCCTGGTGCAGATGCGTGACGAGCACCCCGTATCCGGCTCCCAGCACAAACAGGACCAGAGCGCGGGAAGCCAGCCACGCCGCCCTGGACGCGGGACTCGAGGGCTGCTGCTTTGATCGATTCGAATCGGCGCTGGCATATGATTGCCGTCTCGACCGGTCGCGCATGAGCTCGTATGTACCGCGGCTGAGGCTGTCTCGGCGCTTTACCGGAGACTCGGCGCCCGTTCCCCATGGGTTGCGCAGTTCCTCCTCGTCGTCCGCGCCATTGAAAACGTCTTCCTGATCCGAGCAATCGTAAATCCCCGCCAGCGTCGACGAATTGAGGTCCGCGATGGAGTGCGACTGGGTGAGGAGCGAGGGGGAGTCGGGAGGAGAGTCGTTGGACGGTCGCGAGCCGACGAAGCCGGCCTTGATCAGGTCGCGGCGGAAGCGGTCGAGGAGGATTTCGTCTACGACCCGCTGCTCCTCGCCATCGCTGTCGTCGTCGTCCTTGGGGGGCGTTATGCTCTGGGGCGTAGAGCTTCTGAGGTCAAAGACGAACGGCCGCCGGGGAATTGGTCGGAAAAGGGGAGGGCCGTCTGCTGAGTCGCTCATGCTGGTGGTTTGTGTGCGTATGGTTGCTGGATCTTGTTTTCTTCTTTTCGTGTTCCCTTCGGAGCCGGAGCAAGATATTGTGTAGTGTGTCTGGCCGGAGAAGAGATGTGGAAAAAACGAGAAAAGGAGAAAATCACAAAACGAAAGTCGGAAAGAGAGTAATCGTCAAAGTCCAAGCAAGGTTGCAAGGGAAACGAAGCCAAGTGCCGAGCTCGTGTTTGTCAACTGATCCAAGGGCTTGGATTATCCGGGCCAGCTCCACCGCTAAGGCTGGCAGCTGCAGCTTTCCGGCAGCGATCAATGCAGCAGCTCGTATAATTCCGTGGCTACTCTACTAGCAGAAGCAGAGACGCAGAAGCACAGGATCCGAATGGTCTGATTAAGCTTCAGGTCAGTGGACCCGCGGGCGAGCAGAGGCGGCGATCGGATGATGTCGGTGTGATGCGTGATGCGATGCGTGACGCTGCGAGATCAAGATTCGGGCCAGAGTCAGCGTTGCATTGTCACAAGCCAGGACGGGGTCAGTGTCAATAGACGCCAAAGTGGGAATGGGGGGTTTTTTTTTGCCCTTTTTGTTCTCTGTCTTTGCTTTTTTTTTTTCCTTCATCATGTGCTCAGGTCCCGCACCACGCGAGGGCACAGAGACATTGTTTCTTGCTTCTTCGCCCTTTTCCCTCTCTTCTCCCCCATCGTTCCCCTGATCTGATGCCTGTACGGATAGACATGACATGGGATGACATGACATACCTTGAGCTCGGCGCTGCTGATGCCCGGAATGCCGTTGGGTCGGGCTCCTTTTGCGCTGCACAGGGGAGGGGCGGCTAGACGTCCCGCGCTGATGCAGATGAGTGCAGCTCCTTTTTGCCTTTCCGGCTGGGGACAAGCGGAGATGTCCGTCTCGGCTGAATCCGATGCGCACCGTACAGTTACGTAGGCAGGCAGCAGTAGGGAGTGCTGCACAAGCAGAAATCGAGAGGAAAAGGGAGATGGAGGAAGAGGAGGAGGAGGAGGAGGAGGAAAAAGGGAAGCAAAGCTGAGGAAAGAGTCAAGAGGGGGTGCTTTCGCTCTTTAACGATGGCATGGCATGGCATGGTATGGCATGAATGACTGAAACTCGTCTCGGCCCAATCCGGTCCTTGTACGTTTTGCCTCTATACACAACCTTAATATACGATACAGTGCGTACGTTATAGCATTGGCTTGGGCCGACAGGAACGCAGCGCATTCGTCCACGATTTCGGTGGTCACGCATGCATTTGATGCATGCATGCATTCTAGGGAGCATGTGCGCTGGCCCTCAGAAAAGTCAACTGAACCTTACCTGCGGATTCAACAAAAGTCAGCCCAGCCCAGCGAGAAAATACCCGGACCCGATCGTTGATCCCAGCCGCCGGCTTGGGGCACATGACTGCTAGGCCGAGGAGGGCAATATCAGGACCCCTTTTTGGGGGCTGCGCATCCCCGACTGGACAGTGCCATGTTGATCGTTTGGACACGATGCAAGTTGTCTCACTGACACGTACTGGATAGACCTTATTGTAATGATTGCACGCAACTTGAGCATCTACTGACAGTCATGATAATTCTGAAATTCTTGAGCAGCAGCTACAAGATGCCGACTGATGTCGGAAGGGTCTGGTACGGAGCAAGGTTTCTGCTTTTCTGCAAGACATCAACACTCACCTGCAGCAATGGCATGCCTCTAGGTACTAAGCTTTTGCTAAGGTATGCAGCAAGCCGACGCCGATTCCTCACACGGATGAAACGTGCAATCCCGGCAGCAGCAAGGCCACCTCGGTACGTCTTCCCCACGTAATGTTCCTGTGTAACGCATCAAGCGCATTGAACAGCTTCTCGCAGCAGCCTTTCTTTTGATGCATCATGGCTCAGCCGGGCTTTTTTGGACTGCCTTCTCGAGAATTACCGTTGGAGTCTCTTTGAGTGTCTTACAAAGGTTCCTATTGCATCTGGCACTGTGCAGTCAAGTGAGAAGATGCCGCTAGAACGGATAGGCTTTAGGGAGGTGCCTTGTAGCCGCTTCCCCGCATTTCAAGCTCCGCGCCGCCGCTGCCGCTCAATCACATGCTTGATGCAGAATTCTTGGGTACGAGTCTGACTAAGGCAGGCGCTCGTACAGAATGGAGAAGCATGTGAATGGGAAGGAAGCATCAACTGTACCTATGGTAAGGTAGGCAATGCCCAAGCTGGCAGCAATAAATCAATGAGGAAGCAGCAACCGAGCAGTTGAAAACAATAAGGAAGTGACGACTATTACACAGCTACCTTACCTATCTAAATCCGGCATGCAACCGCTCCACGAATGACTAAGCTGATCTCGGCAACACCATCCCTCCTCTTCCAACCTCTCAGTGACAAACGAAATCTATCCAGTACAAGCCCTGTCAGCCCTCTCATACTGCCCATCCTCAATCTGCCGACTGCTCAGGCCTCGGTGTTCCTGCAACAATGCCAATTGCACCTCACGATCAATAGTCACTTGATACCTCTCCAGCTTGTCAACCGCGTCGGCAAAGTCTCGATAATCAGTGCCGGGCATGAAGATGCCGCGCAGCATGTTTTCTTCAAATTGGTTAGTAACGAGATGGGCAATCCAGGCAGTCTTGCTGCGATGTGACTTACTCCAAGCTCTGTTGTTGAGGTATACCGCAGTGTATACACACGCCTCTAGATAAATCTCACATGTTCCCCGAATCGCTTGGAGCAAACGCTGATTGAAAGGAAACATTGTGACGTACTCTCCTAATCGAGGCAGAAGATTTGTCAGGCCTTGGAGAAACGTGCTGATATGCGACAAGATCTTGCGGTAATTCTTAGCGCTCTGGAGAAGAATGTCAGTTCGATCTGTACTCCGGCTACTCATATCGGGGCAACAGGCTTCACGAGCACCTTGTGAGCCGCTTTGAAAAGACAGGCAACCGCTTGAGCCTGGTGAAACAATCCCTCTACAATAGGCTCCATGGCTGCCAGGTATCTACAGTCTGGCCGCGGGCGACGATGTTGTTCGAAGAGACTATGGATGCGATCCACCGTCATGTCCGGATCCAGCCTTTGGCGGAACTGACGAAGATCCTTTTTCCTCAGCCTAGCCTCCAGGAACTCTCTCCATATATGACTAGGAGGGTGCTGCAGGATTGACTCGATACCGGCTTCATCGAGCCCACGAATGGCAGGATCTCCAGGAGTATCAGGTATCGGCATTTGCGGTGTGGTTGACGACGCCATCTGGAACCGGTCGACGCTACTCGACGGCAGCCGGATGGTGTCTGATACCGTACCGTAGTTCATGACTTCGTCGTCAGTTTCGTTGCGTTACGGTCAATCTGGCAAAGCTACTTGCAATGCGTGCTATTGGGACCATCTTCGGGCCTGTAGGGGCCTATATATGTCTATTGATGATGAGCGAGGCCTAGACTAAACAATGAACGATGAGCATGTCTCACGAGTTACTACGGCACGGCTCTAACCCCTGTTCCTCAGCGTTTCTGGCTTGAGGCCAAACGTCCAACGCGCAGCGAGCTAAACAACGGGCCATGCAAGCCGAGATGGCCGGAGGACGCAACAAGCATTCCTCTACCATCCCCAGCTTCTTCCATCTGAACATCCGCCAATCGGTTCGGAGGAGATGCAGGTGAAGTAAGCAGCGAGCTATAGGTCACTTCGATGATCAGAAAGCGACTTTGATGGCAACGCGCTCAGCAAACGGGGCAGCGGGATGACAGGCCGGAACATGGCCCACGTTGCATGTTACACAAGCCTTCAAATCAGGCCCATGTTGTGTCCAGTGGCAACTTGCAGGTACATGCCCAACACATGCACTTTGCGTTGACGGGCCAAAGCTTTCATTGATATTACCATTTTACGTCGAGTGCAAACACTTGATGAAGAGGACTGATGGCTGCGATCCCTTCAGCGCTGGCCCAGTGAGCGATAGGAGCGATGGCTGGTGGTGGTATCAGAAAGTAAAGTCCGAACCATCAGCGAATGTGATGAGCTCTAACAAATACTTCTTGATGCGAACGAGCCTCTTCTCTGAGAAGCGTTTGTAGTAAGAGGCTATTGGAACGGCTTGAGGCGGCTTCTTTCTGTAGAGAAACCGTTTCAGATTACCCGGTCAGGAGAGCGGCAAAGCCGGACGAGTCTATTCACTTGACCGTCGCTTACAGAGACAATGAGAAGGCCTTACTCGTGATGCTGGTACAGGCGATGTGCTCTGTAAAGGAGCCAAATACACGTCCCGGCAACATAGCTCTTGAGAATCTAGACGGAAGTCTGAGAAACGACGCCTCTCCATCGACAATGGATCCGGAAGTTGATGCATCTGCTCAATAATAGCGCTGTTTCCGCACCCACCGTGAACGACAGGACAGTCGAAGCGGAATACCAGCATGCTTCAGTCCTGCTTCTCCCGAGATGATGGACAATCATTGAACCGCCCACAGCGCCCGCTCAAAACCTATTCAATGACCGGGGGACTACGTCCTCAAGCTCTGTCCTCAGCCCTCGTTTCCAGCCTGCGTCTTCAGCTTCCGCCTCTCCCACCACTGCTGATACAGCGCCTTAACCTCCAGATCCAACCCAGCAACCGGCCCCGCAACCCTCACGCGCGGCGCAACCGCACTGATGGGCAGCGCCGCCACGGGGCCCTTGTCCACGCCCGCCTCCTCCTTCCAGCGCTCAAACTGCGCCGTCGAAGCGACGTAGACGACGCGGCCCAGGCCGACGAAGGCGTGGGCGGCCGCGCACATGGGGCAGTGCTCGCCGGACGTGTAGACGACGGCCGAGGCGCGCTCGTCGGGCGTCAGGTGGAGGTG